TCCATTCTCCTCTCGGGATCTTGGGTACGCACGCACACACGCCCAGCGTGAGTTTTAAGCACCGGGTTCGGGACGCGAACCGCGGGCAACTACGTGGGAGTCCAGCGACATAGCCATTATGCTAACTGCTGGTTCCCCAACCACTGATATTTTTTTATTATCGCCATGGTTTTGTCTTGTCCAGGATGTCATATAGTTGAAATCATATGGCATTTAGACTTTCGAATACCATGCTTATTTTTCATAAACACTGAAATGAATTAAGTTATTTTTATTGAGGGGATCTATAGTTTTTTTTAATTAATTTATTTAATTCCATTTGTTATTATTATTTTTCAGCTTGACCAGAGAGAGACAGAGAGAGAGAGACGGAAAGCGAGGAAGCCACCAGGTCCAGGATTTGAACCGCGTTTGGCCATGTGGGAATCCAGTGCCTTTAACCATCACGCCACCTCCTGGCCCCAGGGATCTATAGTTTTTGTTTTTTTGTTTTTGTTTTTGTTTTTTGGTTTGTTATTTTTGGGTTTTTTTGGGAGGGTTTTACCATAGGGTGCAAATAAATAAATAATTTCGAAAGAAAAATAATTTTTCCCTTTTACTGTCTCTCTCTCTTGCCAGAGAGAGTGAGAAATCACCCTGCTAGGGGATTAGTCACACTGCGATACCTTCTCCTCCGTTTTCCTCTTGGGATCTTGGGCATGCACACATGCGCCCGGCATGAGTTTGAAGTCACAGGGTCCAGGACTCTGTGGGAGTCCAGCGATGTAATTGCCACACTATCTGCTGGTTCCCCCCAGCATGATATTTTTGGTAAAGAATTATTTAATTATATTTATTATTATTATTATTATTCAATATTATTATTCAATTCCACGATGGGGGGAGAAAGAGAGAGAGAGAAAGTAAGCCACCAGGTCTGGGACTCAAACCACAGACAGCATGTGAGAGTGCAGCAACTCAACCATCACACCACCTGCTGGCCCCTATTTATTTATTTATTTATTTATTTGGGAGGTTTTAGCTATAGGGCACATGTGCTTGCTGGAAAGACAGAGACAGAAAGCGAGAAATCACCCCCCAGGGGGATGGCCATGCTGCAATCCCTTCTCCTCCATTTTCTTCTCGGGATCTTGGGCACACACGCACAAGTACCTGGTGTGAGTTTAAGCCACTGGATCTGGGACTCGAACTGCGGTCGACTACATGGGCGTCCAGCAGCATAGCCATTACGCCATCTGTTGGTCCACCACACTTGGTATGTTTTTCAAATCAGCAGATTTGGGACTTGAACCATTTAACCAGCCATGTCAGATCCACCATACCACTGACTGGCCCTAGATGAAATTTTAATTAGTATTTCTTTGATTTTTACAGAGTTTAAATATTTTTCCATGTTATTGTTTTATTCTTTTTTCCCCTTTGAATTGTATATTCTTGACATTTTTCTATGCAAAATATGTCATGACTTTTCTGACGACCCAATAAAATCTTAGTACATTATTGAGAGAAGGTCTATGTTAAATAGTGCAGATTTCTTTTTTTGTAAATGGTTTAAGTAAATACTTTTATGGTTCATTTGCTGTTAAGGATGTCTGCTTCAGGATACCCTATATAAACACATACAATGTTCTTTTCTTTTCCAAAGCTTTGTTTTAATGTAAGATGCTAAAGTATTGCTATTTTTTGAGAACTAACTTTTTTTTCAATTACCTTTTTTTAAGGAGCTCCCACCCTACCTTGGCAAACTGGATGTAACATTTCAAAAAGGTAGTATTTCTCATTTTCAATTTAAACTCTTTAACATTAAAGTGTATTCATTTATGCTGAGAAGCCCATGTGTATTCTCTTGACATAGTAGGGTCTTGCTAAAAGTACTGCCCTCTAAACTTGTCCTCTTAGGCCTACAAATGTTCTCTTAGACCAACCTTGTTGGTCATCTGAACCTGAGATGATCAGGTTCAAAGATTTAGCTTGCTCTTTCTATTTAAATTCACACATAGGGACCGACAGGTGGTGTGGTGGTTGTGGCGCTGGACTCCCACAGGCCTACTGTGGGTCAAGTCCCAGGTCTAGCAATTTGCTTTCTCACTTCCCCTCCTTTTCTCTCTGGTCAAAAATTTAAAAAGAATAATAAGTAAAATTAAACAAATAATTTTTTAAAATAAAATAAATTCACATATAATTAATTTAAGCCTGAATACTAATTACAAGAATCCCAATATTCCTAGGCATACTTTGTACTTCTTTTTTTTTTTTGGAGAAGTTTTTGCTATAGGGCACGTGCGCTCGCCAGAATGACAGAGAGAGATGGAGAGACAGAAAGTGAAAAATCACCCCCCCAGGGGAGATGGCCACTCCACAGTTCCTTCTCTGCCATTCTCCTCTCAGGATCTTGGGCCCTCACACACACCCAGCGTGAGTTTAAGCCACCGGGTCTGGGACTTGAACCACAATCGGCTACATGGGAGTCCAGTGACATAGCCATTATGCTAACTGCTGCTCCCCATACTTTGTACTTCTAAAGCTTCAGATTTTAGCACCTTACCATAGTTTATAGTAGTTTCTCCATCGTAAACATAATGAAGGATAAATGAAGTAAAAAGGTCCCTCTTCAGACACTTTATGGTTCTATAACATTTGATTCTATCATGTAGCTGCTTCATATTTTCAATGACTGAAGAGACTTCTGTCACTCAAGCCATTTCCTAGTCATCTTCACTTAACAGTTTTCTATCTTTTGAGGGACTATTTCTCACAAAGAAACATGTCCCAGGGCCAGTGGGTGGCATGGTGATTAAGGGCCTGAACTCCCACATGGCTGACCACGGTTTGAGTCCTGGCCCTGGTGGCTTGCTTTCACATTTTCTATCTTTCTCTGTATCTCACTCTGGTTGAATGAGAAGGAAAGAAAGAAAATTAAATAAAAATAATTTTTTTTTGAGATTTTTGCTATAGGGCACTGCGCTCGCTAGAAAGATAGATAGAAAGCGAGAAATCACCCCTCAGGGGGATGGCCATGCTGCAGTCCCTTCTCCTCCATTCTCCTCTTGGGATCTTGGGCATGTACACATATGTGCCTGGTGTGAGTTTAAGGCACTGGGTCTGGGACTCGAACCGTGGTTGACTACATGAGAGTCCAACGATGTAGCCATTATGCCATCTGCTGGTCCCCGTAAATAAAACTAATTAAAAAAAAATCGTTCACAAAACATTTTTAAAAAAGGAAAGAAAGAAAAAAGAAATATGTCCCTTGCTCTAATTTGTTAGTTACTGCATGTTAGAATGGAAAATACACTACTTTGAGATACAGATGCTGAACAGATATAGACCAACTATCACAAGTCAGCCTCACATTTTGAATAGTTCACAAGTACAATTCAATAAAACTGTAAAATGTTATACCATGTACCCTCCTATGGTTTACATATGTTTAAAACCTTGGTTAAATATTTGCCAAGAATCTATTTATATAGTGGGACCTGCAGATGGCATAATGGTTACGTCACTGGACTCCCACATAGTTGACTGTGGTTTGAGTTCCAGACCCTGTGGCTTATAACTGACTTCAGCTGTGTGGGCCTATAAGCCAAGATCCTGAGAGGAGAATGGAGGAGAAGGGATTGCAGCATGCCCATCCCCCCTGGGGAGAGTGATCTCTCTCTTTTTGTCTCTCTGCCTCTCCAGCAAGCACACACACACCATAGCAAAAAAATCTCTCTCTCAAAATAAAGAATCTAGGGGCCAGCAGGTGGTGTGTTGATTAAGGGCACTAGACTCCCACATGACCAATCGTGATTTGAGTCCCAGACCTGGCAGCTTGCTTTCTCACTTTCCTTCTCTCTCTCATTTTTTTTTCTCTGATCAAATTAAAATGAATGAATGAATAAATAAATAAATAAATAAATAAATAAATAAATAAATGAAGTTAAGTAAAAAAGACATTTCTTTAAAAAAAATCTAAAAAAACCAAAAACCAGAATCTAATGATTTAATTTTCAAAAAGAACTGTAACTACTTCATAAATGAGATTTTTTTTTTTTGGAGAGGTTTTTGCTATAGGGCATATGTGCTCACCAGAAGGACAGAGAGAGAGAGACAGAGAGAGACAGACAGCGAGAAATCACCCCCCAGAGGGGATGGCCATGTCGCAATCCCTTCTCCTCCATTCTCCTCTCGGGATCTTGGGCACGCACGCATGCGCACCTGGCATGAGTTTAACTTACCGGGTCTGGGACTCGAACTGCAGTCAACTACATGGGAGTCCAGCGACATAGCCATTACACCAACTGCTGGTCCCCATAAACTAGATTTAAAATAAACTATCGTAATTTCCCCCTTGATTGGGAAATTTTGAAAAACCAGAAAAAAAATTTAAATTAGCTTTCACTAAGGGATGTTGAAATCTGTGTGTTTGATCTTGTCTTTCAGGTAAGTATCATTAAACTCTGTTGGTTTAAGGAAACACTTTTTAAAATTCTTGTTATTTATTGGCTTCTACTTGCCGTGGTATTTATTATTTGTGTCCATTTTGAACTAGTGGAAGTTAAAAAAATTTTCAGAAGTTTTTTCTTTTTCTCTTTGTAGAGCAAAAACAAGCCCCACAAAGATGGAAAGAGCCTTTGAGAAAAAAATGTTTTAATTTTTTTCTGGTTTTTCATCTCCCTCACAAAGTCATAAAACTTTTGAATGTGAAGAGACCTTTGAGTCCATATAATCCTGTCTTCTGTTGTAGATAGGGAAACTGGAGTCTAAAGATACAAATTAACTTGATCAAGGTCATACAACAAGTAAATGACAGATTTTGAATTTATAATAGATCTCCTCCTCACCAGGCTAGTGTTCGGCTACACTGCGCTGCCTGCCTATCTGAACAGCCTCATCAAATGCTATATCAATAGCAATGTGCTATCAAGTTTCAGACAACTATAAAGAATATTCATTCTTGGTACCAGCAGTTAGCGTAATGGCTATGTCACTGGACTTCCATGTAGTCGGCCGCGGTTCGTGTCCCGGACTTGATGGCTTAAAACTCATGCCGAGTGAGTGTGCGTGTGTGCCCAAGATCCCAAGAGGAGAATGGAGAAGGGATTACAGCGTGGCCATCCTCCCTGGGGGGTGATTTCTCGCTTTCTGTCTCTCTGTCTCTGTCTGTCTGTCAAGCGCATGCACCCTATAGCAAAAACCTCTCAAAAAAAAAAAAGAATATTCATTCTTATTGTGATCAATTTATATCACAATTGACTTTGTACTGTGCTTTAAATATTAAATTTACTGTAGTCGAGACAGACAAAATATAGTATTATATAAAAATTTGACTAATGTTAATTAGCAAGTTGTTCAGTTTTTCCTATTCTAATCCTTTGTTTGCTTGCATTTCTTTCTCTTTTTTTGATCAGACGGATCGTGTTCACTAAAGAGAGAGAGACAGAGGGAGAAAACACATCTCTTCTCCATTTTTCGATTATGTTGGGATTTGGAGCATATATTCAAAACCCCTGACATGTTTCTCAAGCTCTTGGGACTGGGACATGAACTGCAGTCAGCCATGTGGGATCTGGTTCCCTTAACCACTAGGCCACAGGGCTGATCTTTTATTTTTCTTTTCGTTTTTATTTGTGGTTCACGACTTTACTGTAGAAATAATTAGATGTTTTCTTTCAAAGGATTCTTTGATGTACGACAGGCTACATTAAAAAGTAAATGTATAGGACCAGCAGATGGCATAATGGTTACATCGCTAGACTCCCACATGGCCAACCACAGTTACAGTCCTGGACCTGGTGGCTTGAAACCCATGCCCAGTGTGTGTGCATATTTGCACATATGCAGGTTTTAAAAAATTAAAAATAAAGAGACCAGCATGTGGTGTGGTGGTTAAGGCGCTGGATTCACAAATGGCTAACTGCGGTTCAAGTCCCAGGCCTGGTGGCTTAAAAATCATGCCAGGGTGGGACCAGCAGATGATGTAATGATTACGTCGCTGGACTCCCATATAGTCAACCATGGTTCGAGTCCTGAACCTCGTGGCTTCAAACTCATGCCAGGTACGTGTGCGTACATGCCCAAGATCCCAAGAGGAGAATGGAGGAGAAGGGATTGCAGCATGGCCATTCCCCCAGGGGGATGATTTTTTGCTTTTCGTCTCTCTGTCTTTCTCTGGTAAGCACGCACGCCCTATAGCAAAAATCTCTCTTAAAAAAAAATCATGCCAGGAATGTGTATATGCATTCCCAAAATCCCAGAAGGAGAATGAAGGAGAAGGGATTGTAGCTTGACCATCCATCTAGGGAGTGATTTCTCAATTGCCTTCTCACTGCCTCTCTCTGTTTCTCTCTGGTGAGCACACATACCCTATGACAAAAACAAAAACAAAAATTTTTTAAATAAAAAGTAATGTAAAGAGGGACCAGCAGATGGTATAATGGCTACCTCCCTGGACACCCCCGTAGTCAAACGCCGGTCAAGTCCTGGACCCGGTGGCTTAAACTCACACTGGGCACATGTTTGTGCATGCCCAAGATCCCGAGAGGAGAATGAGAAGGGATTGTGGTGTGGCCAAACCGGGGTGATTTCTCGCTTTCTGTCTCTCTGTCTCTTCTCTTTCTGGTGAGTGCATGCATCCTATAGCAAAAAGACCTCTCAAATAATAATAATAATAATTTTTTAAAAAAGTAATGTAAAGAAAGAACATAAAAAAGCGTTAGCCAGGGAACCAGCAGTTAGCGTAATGGCTATGTCGCTGGACTCCCACGTAGTCGACCGCAGTTTGCTTCCCAGACCCAGTGGCTTAAAACACGCTGGGCGCGTGTGCGTGCATGCCCAAGATCCCAAGATCCTGAGAGGAGAATGGAGAAGGGATTGCGGCGTGACCATCCCCCCGGGGGGTGATTGCTCACTTTCTGTCTCTGTCTCTGTCTGTCTATCTGGCGAGCGTACACGCCCTTTAGAGAAAAATCTCTCAAAAAAAAAAAAAAAAAAAAAGCGTTAACCAGTGCTGCACTATAGCACTGTGTTTAAGCACCATGCAGAGGGAGCCAGATTCTACATGGTTGACCATCAGGCACACATGCACATGCCCGGGATCCTGATGGGATACAGAAATGGAGGAAAAAGAGGATTGTGGCATTACCAAGCCCTATTGTGGGTTGCTCTCTCTCTCTCTCTCTCTTAATCTTCCCGTTTCTCTCACACCTGCACACAAGCCCTCTGACATTAAAAAAGAAAGTTTTAATCAAATGGTTTGTTATTATCTATTCTACTTACTTAAAGGTAGCATTTTGTGGGGTACTGGCATGTGGTGTGATGGTTGAGATACTGGATTCCCACATGGCCAACTGGTGTGAGTCCTGGACCTGGTGGCTTGCTTTCTCACTTTCCCGCCCTCTTTCTGGTGAGCATGCATGTCCTATAGCAAATTAAAGAGAAAAAAAAAATTAAACACAGCTTTTTTTTTCATGGAAAATACTTACTTTGGATATTGTAGCATTGACAATAATGACCAGTTTTAAAGTTCTAGCATGCTATAGGAGTCACTTCACGTATCCACCATCCACACATCCTATGGCATATCTTTTTGCCTACCATTCTTATTCCCCATGTCCTCTGCCAGGAGAAATACTAGGGCAAATTTGTCTTTTTTCAACTCTTTCTATATTATACACTGGCTAAGGCATCTAGTCTATATGTTGTGATGACATTTTAGCACTTTTTTTCTTTTTAACTTTTATTTCTCACTTTCTACAATATTTTTTAAAGAATTAATTATTGAATTTTATTTATTCATTACTTTTTTTGTTTTTTAATTTGACCAGAGAGAGACACACAGAGAGTGATAGGGAGACAGAGAGAAAGAGGGAAAGTGAGAAAGCAAGCCACCAGGTCTGGGACTCGAACCATGGTCAGCCATGTGGGAGTGTCCAGCATCTTAACCACCAGGCCACCTGCTGGTCCCCAGCGCATTTTTTTTCTTAACACTCATTTTAGTTCCCTATTAGCTATAATATTACTCTTACTGTATGTATTATTTTACTGTTCCAGAGGTGGTTGTATGTTTGCATTTTTTCTAAGTTGATTCTTACATACAACTTACTTGGGAATTGCTACTAGCCTGTGGTACTTCCCTTGGCTACTAAATTGATATTCCATATTTAGAAGTCAAAATTTTTACTTAACTAAAATGTTGGGTGATTGGAAAAGTCATGAGGCATTTTTACATAGTAAAATACATCATGACTTTTCTGACAGCGCATATCACTAGACAACCAGAACTTTCTGCAGTTTTGGAAATGTTTTATATTTGCACTGTCCAATATATGAGGCTTGTGCAACTGAGTAATTGAATTTCAGATTTTATATAATTTTAATTATTATTCTAAAAGTTTGTTTTGTTTTGTTTTAGTTTTGCTATGGGATGTGTGTACTCACCAGAGAGAAAAAGTGAGAATCACCCCCATTGGCAATGGCCACACTGCAATCCCTTATCCTCCATTCTCTGCTCAGGATTTTGGGCATGCGCTCACACATGACTAGTGTTTTTCAAGCCCTAGGGTCCAGGACTCGAACTATACAGCCAGCTATGAGATATACAGTTGCCTTAAACTTCACACCACCTGCTGGCCCTATTATTTTAAAATTTTAACAGAGGGCATGTGCACCTCCTCCAGAGATACAGAGAGGTTGGGGTGGCAGTGAGAAAGTACCCCCATGGTGAACGAGTATGCTGCAATCCCTTCTCTTCCATTTTCCTCTCTTTTCAGGTTTTAGGCATGCATACGCACCCAGCATGTTTTTTAAGCCACTGGGGCCAGGACTCAAACTGCAGCAGTTGACTGTATGGGATCCAGCCACCCCAACCACCACACTCATGAGCTGGCCTTAATATTTTTAATTTAAATAGCCCTATGAGGAAAAATAAAATAACAAAATAAATAAGTAAATAGCCTTATGAAGCTAGTAGCTACCACATTAAATAGTGCTGAACTGGAGTATCATGCTCATGTATTTTAGTTTATAATTAATTTTTCACATTTAGAAGACAATAAAATGTTTTGTTTAACTGAAATATCACTGTCCAAATAAAACTTTCTGCAGTGATAGAAATACTCTATATTTGCACTGTGACAGAAATTAGTTTAAGCTAGCTTAATGGACACACACACAAAAAGATTAATAAGAAAGAATAATGGTAGATCTGACATCAAACATTTTGGATGCAGAGGCACAAAAAGTCTCTTGTTTCATGCCTTAGTTCTGCTTTTCTGGGTATCTTGGGTCTTATTTTCTACTTTAGATTTTTTTTCCATGTGCAGGAAACTTGATCACTGACAGTTAAAAATTCATATCCTGCCTTTACTTTGCCTCCAGAGAAAAAAAGACAGTCTTACTTATGAGCGTCAAGAAAAAGGTACCAGAAAAAGGACACTGATTGGCTCAAGTTGGGTCACGTGTCCATCCTGAGGCAGAAGTGGACTGTATCAGTGGTCATACCTAACATATGCCCACCTATTTTTTAATATTTATTTATCTATTTAATTCTTTTGTTATTAGTTTTTAATTTGACCAGAGAGAGACAGAGAAAGAAAAAGGGAAAGTGACAAAGCAGGTCCGGGACTTGAACCACAGTTGATCATATGGGAGTCCAGCGCCTTTAATCACCATGCCACCTGCCAGCCCCAACATATGCCCACCTTTGAAGTCAGTGGGGAGTAAGTACTATCATTAACAACCCTATTAGAATAAACAATGTGGAATAAGGAAGATAGAGTTTTCTTTTTTTTTTTTTCTTCTTTTTTTTTTTTTTTTTGAGAGGTTTTTGCTATAGGGCACGTGTGCTCGCCAGACAGACAGAGAGAGACAGAGAGACAGAAAGCGAGAAATCACCTCCCAGGGGAGATGGCCACACCGCAATCCCTTCTCCATTCTCCTCTTGGGATCCTGGGCACGCACGCACATGTGCCCGGCATGAGTTTAAGCCACTGGGTCCGGGATTCGAACCGTGGTCGACTACATGGGAGTCCAGTGACATAGCCATTACACTAACTGCTGGTCCTGGAAGATAGAGTTTTCTAAGGGAAAGAAGAATGCTGGGAAGGAAAAATAACAGCTATTCACTAGAAATGTGATTGTTTTATAGTTTAATTATATACTCTGTGATTAAGTTTAGGCTCTTTTAATTATATATGCTAGACTCATCTCACAATAATTTAAGCAAAAAATTAGAGAAAAAAAGAATTCATTGGCTTTCATAAGTTCTTATAGTTTTCTCAACTAAAAAGTCTGGAACTTAGGAATCTAATAGTTATTTTAAAAGAAAAAGTTTAATTAATAAAAATTGAAATCATAAATATCATGTACCAACATTAAAATACTTATTTTTATTAATGTAAAAAGGTCAAGTTGAAATCTGTAGGCACTGGGTGGGCCCGCAGGTAGCGTGGTAGTTAAGGGTGCTGGATTCCCACATGGCCAATCCTGGTTCAAATCCCAGAACTGGCAGCTTGCTTTCTCACTTTCTCTCTCTCTCTCTGTTCTTCTCTGGTCAAATTAAAATAAATGATTAAGAATAAATAAAATAAAGTTAACTAAAACAATTCTTTTTTTCTGAAGAATTATTTACTTTATTTTGTTTGTTACTATTATTATTATTTTAATTTGACCAGAGAGACAGAGAGCAAGAGAAAGGCAAAGTGAGAAACCCAGCCATCAGGTCCAGGACCCAAACCGTGGTTGGCCATGACGGAGGCCAGTACCTCTGTGCCACCTGCCAGCCCCATTAAAATAATTCTTTAAAAAAGGAAAATCTGTAGGCACAGGTGGCATGGTGGTTGAGGGTACTGGACTACCACATGTCCCACCACAGTTCAAGTCTTGGACCTGGTGGCTTGCTTTCTCACTTTCCCTTTCTCTTTCTCTCGCTCTGTCTCTCTCTGGTGAAATTGTGTGAAAATAATAATAAATAAAGTAAATATTTTTTTTAAAACTCTGTGGGCATATAGTAGTACAACTATAACAAAGTAGAGGAAGTACACCAAATGGGTATAATGTTTATATCTACGTTGTTGGACTTTATTTTTCTTTTGTTTGTTACACTTTTTTTGCATTTTGTAGGTGTCCTATAATGACTGCATAATATAACTTTTTTAATCATTAAAAAGTAAACGCTATCTTTAAAAAACATATTTAAAAATCTTGCTTTCTCAGCATGCCAATGTGAAGGAAAAGATAACCGAATTCCATTACTGAAGGAAGTTTTTGAGGCCTTTCCTAACACTCCCATTAACATCGATATCAAAGTCAACAACAATGTGCTGATTAAGAAGGTACTCAAGGCATTGCCCTCCCCGAGTGTGTTGCATCCAGTTTCACAAACTACATAAGGTTAGAGTAGGTGATTGCCTAGATGGATAGTCTTCAAGGAAATGTGATACTCCAGGGATCAGCATTTCATTAAAGAATGCCCTGGAAGAGATCCCTTTCCTGTAGGAGAGTCTGTTTTCAGAATAAGCTGGCATATCTTAGTCATAGATGAAAATAAGTTCCTAAAAATCGATCATTCTGGCATTTATATAACTAACTTCTAGTTTAACTTGTTTCATTTGTGGTTAGTTGATATCATATTACTGAATTATAAATTGTATAATGGTAACGTGTAGATAATTTTTATATTTTATAAAATAATCTGAATTTATATATCAGTTTTTTCCAAAATTCTATTCTATCCAATGGCAGATAGTCAACTGTAACCTATTGTTAAAGTGAAATGTTATTAGATTTACAAATAGGCACATGCATAAAATTGTGAATTTTCATGTGTAGGTTTCAGAGTTGGTGAAGCAGTATAAACGAGAACACATAACAGTGTGGGGTAATGCCAGTTATGAAATTGTAGAAAAGTGCTACAAAGAGGTAAGCTTCAAAAATGACACAGAATGATTTATCTTTGTTATGTTTCTATATATTGAAAACCTTAGTTATTATAATAATTTTTTTAAGTAGCTTATCTTCATACAGAGATAGATGATACCAAGTAGAAGCAACGAGGCAGAAGTTTACTCAGAGAGATACTGGGTTTGGACTTTGCAATTTCAGTTCAGTGTAATCAGACTGTTCCACAGAATTATTATTTTTACATGCTCGTATTGTTTAACGACATTTTATTATGTGTACTATAAGACAAAATACGATTATCATGTAATGTCTGTTTTTATTCGATAACTGACTGTGTGTAATTTTTAATTAAAGTAGTCCTTCAAGTCCATAACTTTAGCTTCTTTTTACCCTTATCCCTCCAAACAGACTTAATCAAATTGAGTTGAGATCATAATTATGAAGTAATATACAAAAGCAGAGCCATCTATCCACTGAAAAAAACTTCTGGTTGAAGAAAATATGTCTTTAAAAAATTAAATTGATGTACTTAGGAATGATATGCTAACTCCCATAAGCAAGTTTAAATATATAGTCAACTACCAAAATTAGAAATTTAAAATATTAAAAAAAAATCTTAAGCACTGATGACTTTTATAGAATACTAGTGAAAAGTGCTGAAGAAATATCATGATATAAGTAGCAATCCTTCAATACAAAGAATTCTTTGGGGAAGGCCTTGTCTTCCTAGCAAAAAAGACAAAAACATCCACAATCAACACCATTACAATTCAAAGTACAATTGAGGCGCTCAATAAAGGCAAGCAAGTATTATTTATGTGCAGCAGTCTTTGTGAAATCGCAAAATAGTTGGTGTACACAGGGAAAGAACAGAGCAATCACCGGGCTGAATGGCTTCAGATTGCTAAGAACTTGGAACTAAGAATTTTCCATAACTTGTATCATCTCGTGGTATTTTCAGATGTTTTTACTAGGGAGAAAAGGTACTGGAAGCCTCATAACTTGTTGAGCTTTTCATATCATCATTTTTTTTTCCAAATAAAAAATAATGGTAATGCTAGAAAGCATGCAGAGAAAGTGTATCTCTCATACATTGTGTGTGGGGATGTGTAAAGTACAGCTACTCAGAATAATTGGTTCCTTGTGAAACTAAACAGACACTTAATGTGTGAATCTACAATTTCATTTTACGCCAGAAAAACGAAAACTTATGTATCTAAAACCTGTACTCAAATATTTATAGCAACTTTATGCTTACAAGCAAATCCTGGAAACAACCTATTATGATTTTGATAGTGGTTTGTCCCCCAAAAGTTCTTGTTTTAGCATTTGGTCCCTAGGAGGTAGTGATTGGATCATGGAAGCACTGGCCTCACGAATGGACTAATGCTCTCTCTCAAGACACTGAGTTCTAACTCTCATGGGAAGGAGTGAGTTCTTGCAAGAGTGAGTTGTTATTAAAGAGATACCCAAAGCTGGCCCCATACTCTAGGGTTAAGGGACTTGGCTCCTACATGGCCTACAGTGTGGTTTGAATCCTGGCCCTCATACTTGAAAAATGTGTCAGGCACATGGCTGGCCATGCCCCACATCCCAACATGATGGAGAAATGGAAGAAAAGAGTTATGATGTGACCATGTCCCATTGTGGGGAGCTTTCTCCTCTTCTCTCTGTTTCTCTCCCCGTGGTGAGCACACATACTCTCTGGTAATAAGAAAAATAAGAGAGAGAAAGAGCTTGAGAAATAGCTGCCCACAGTTCTGCCTCTGCATGTACCTGCCATCCTCTCTGCTTCTATCTGCTGTGTTATGATGTAGGTCAGACTGATGCCACCTGTATGGCTTTGGATTTTCCAGCCTCCAGAATCCAAGTCAAATAAAACTCTTACTTCTTTATACATAACCCAGTCTCAGGTATTTTTGTTAGCAATGCAGTAGTAGACTAAGACACGACCCAGATATTCGTTAGTAGATAAATGGGTAAACAAACTCTGGCACGTCTATGCAGTGCAATAGTATTTAGCAATAACATGGAATTAACTGCTGATACATGCAACAACCTGACTGGCCTTCAAGGACATCAGTTTTGCAAGGTGTAAAAGAGTTTTGGAGATTGGTAACACAACAATGTGAATATATTTATCTCCCCCCATGCCCCCCACACACAGACACACAGGTTGAGTATCCCTTATCGAAAGTATTTAGAACAGAAGTGTTTTAGATTTTGAATTTTCTAGGTATTGGATATTCAGTGTACATAATGAGATATATTGGAGGTGTGACCTGAGATTATCTATTATATATTCTACAAATATATCTGTACTATACAGCTGTTTATTTTAAAATGGTCATAAGGTTACTGAATATTTCATATATTCATCTCTTTGTGATTTGGATTCTAGTATGTTTAGTCTCTAGTCATAAGTACTCTGAGCAACAGACAGAAGTGGTGGAACAAGAGCAGAGAGAAGGGAATAAACCAATTGCACTATAGGTTCTAGGCAAATCCTGATCCATTTGTCAAGGATGAGCTATTTCTTACTCTCATATTTAATTTTTAAAAAGAGTTATTTCACTTCATTTTGTTTATTATTATTATTTTTTAATTTGACCAGAGAGAGACAGAGACAGTGAGAGAGAGAGAGCAAACAAACCAGCAGCTCCAGAACTTGAACCATGGTAGGCCATGTGGGAGTCCAGTGCCTTAACTACCATGCCAACTACCGGCGTGGTATATTTTTAAATGAATATTCATAATTCAGAGTTGTGAAATAATCCTCCTTAGGATTACTGAGGTAACACACAACATTGTGTCTTTCAGAACTCAGATATTCCTATACTCTTCAGTCTACAACGCGTTTTGCTCATTCTTGGCCTTTTCTTCACCGGCCTTTTGCCTTTTGTGCCCATTCGAGAGCAGTTTTTTGAAGTTCCAATGCCTTCTATCATATTGAAGTAAGTGGTTACTCAATTTTTATCAATTACTAAATATGAGATGACTAAGGTTAAGGCTCATTAATATATCAATATCAATGATAAATAGAATTTTGTAGTTATGTTCTGCTACTTGATAATTATTAATAATGCTTTTGATAAAATTAAGACACTTTCTCTAAAATGAATAATAAAGGATTATAATACTAATGTGAACCCAACTTGGGTATAGTGACTTTCTGTGCCTGTGTACTCAGAAGTCAGGTAAAAAGAATTGAGCTGAATTACGGAAGCTTAATTTTTATTCTGACATGAAATAGCAATTGCCCTTCAACTTCTCTTACTTCTTTCACTTCGTTGAAATAGAAACTTTGCCCAACTGAAAGATCATTAAACTCCAAATTCACCAGTACTGATGCACTTAGGAAGAAAATCACTACAAATACGTATGGAAATAGGAGAAACAAAAGGGTAGAATTTGTTTATAATAGAAAACTTAAAAGTTCATGGAAAGGGGCTGGTAGGTGGCATGGTGGTTAAAGCACTGGACTCCCATATGGCCTACAGCGGTTCAAGTCTCAGACCTGGCCGCTTGTTTTCTCACTTTCCCTCTCTCTTTCTCTGTCTGTCTGGTCAAATTTTAAAAAGTAAAAATAATGGTAAATAGAAATTAAATAAAATAATTCTATAGAATAAAGTTCGAACTTGGGACCAGCAGTTAGCATCATGGCTATATCGTTGGACTCCCATGTAGTCAACCGCGGTTCGAGTCCCGGACCCAGTGGCTTAAACTCATGCTGGGCACATGGGATTGTGGCATGGCCATCTCCCCTGGGGAGTGATTTCTCGCTTTCTGTCTCTCCATCTCTCTCTGTCTCGCTGGTGAGCGCACGCACCCTATATCAAAAACCTCTCAAAAAAAAAAGAAAAAATAATAAAATATGAGCTTTTATTGGTGCAAAAAGTTTGAAATCCATTTATATATATATATATATTTTTTTTTTTGTAATGTGTATTACAAGCTTTTTGAAGACCCTTCAAGTAAGATACTTTTATATTTACATAATTTCTCTACTAGAGTCTAAGACTTGCTTTTCACTCAATTTACTGGAAGATACAAACATATAAAACACTTAGCATTGCATGGCAAATAAGCATTCAATAAATTATAGCTTTTATTATTAAATTACCTTCATTATTATTACTAGTAGTAGTAGTAGTATTAAAAGATAGCTTTATATCAAAAGTCCTACACACTTAGAGTATGATTTCAAGTGTAAAATCTGGAGAGATCATTTAATGGGATTTAAATTGCATACAAACGTTTTTTAAAAAAAATATATTTATTTAATTTTATTTATTCATTCGTTTATTTTAATTTGACCAGAGAGAGATACACAGAGAGAGAGAGAGAGGGAAAGTGAGAAAGCAAGCCACCAGGTGCAGTATTCGAACCGCAGTCGACCATGTGGGAGTGTGCAGTGCCTTAACCACCACACCACCTGCTGGTCCCCCACATGCAAACATTTTTAGCCCCAAAGCAGAACTTTAAAAAAATCAAGCTGGAAACAGCAGATGGTGTAATGGTTACATCGCTGAACTTCCAAATAGTTGACTGCGATTTCAGTCCCAGACCTGGGGGCTTTCCACTCATGTTGGGAGTATGTGTGTGTGCATGCCCAAGATCCCAAGAAAAGAATAGAGGAGAGGGGATTGCGGCGTGGCCATCCCTTCTGGAGGTGATTGCTTGCTTTCTGTCTGTCTGTCTGTCTCTGTCTCTCTGGTGAGCACATGTGCCCTATAGCAAAAATCTCTCAGAAAAAAAATATATGTATATGTTGGTAAAAGAACAATTTGGCCAGTATTCTTGTGCTGGCTTTTGTTTCATGTCTGTTTTCTGATTTCAGTTTCTTAGTGATAAGCATGTTTATTTTACTTATTCCCAGTTTTATTTATTAACTGTCTTTGTAGCTCTTTCTCAGACAAAACAACAGAGAATGCTTCTTGTCTACAAAGTAACTATTTTCATTCACTAGGTTAAAATGATTCCTCGGGGACCAGCAGTTAGCGTAATGGCTATGTCGCTGGACTCCCATGTAGTTGACCGCAGTTCGCATCCCGGACCCGGTGGCTTAAAAATCTCACACCGGGGGCGTGTGCATGCGTGCCCAAGATCCCAAGAGGAGAATAGAGGAGAAGAGATTGTGGCGTGGCATCCCCCCTGGGGGGTGATTTCTTGCTTTCTATTTCTCTGTCTCTCTCTGTCTGGTGAGCACACGCGCCCTATAGCAAAACCCTCTCCAAAAAAAAAAAAAAAAGATTCCTGGTCATTTACTCATACAGTACTTAACCATCCTCTGGCTTAGAATAGACCATTGTGTGCTCTCAATTATCTCTATGTATTCCTTTTAGAAGCAAATATTATTGAAATAGACATAAAAACAAACTTCATGGGGTCAGCAGATGGCATAATGGTTAAGGCACTGGATTTCCATGTAGTCGACTGCAGTTTGAGTCCCAGACCCAGCAGTTTGAAACTCACATTGGACGTGTGTGTGTGCATGCCTAAAATTCTGATACAAAAATGAAGGAAAAGGGATTGTGGCATGGCCAGCCCCCATATGGGGTGATTTCTTGCTCTCTGTCTCTCCAGGGAATGCATATGCCGTATGGCAAAAATCTCTCTTAGAAAAAAACATAAAATTAACCTTTTATCTAAAAAGTAATAATGGCATAAGACACACATGGGATGTTATTTGTATGTGTTTTACTGTTTCTATGGAAGACAATGAATACTTCCTAAGATATCATAGTAATTGTGTTAATGAGGCTGTTAGAATTGGGGGTACTAAATCCCTTGGATTCCTAAAGTTGTAACACTGGGTCAGAGTTAGGGGAAAAAAGGACTTGTACTTAGAGAGCTTCTAATAAAAACAGAGTTCATTAAAAAAAAAGAAAGAAAAAAATGAATTTAAGTGTGGAGAATGATGCTCAGAATTATTGTAAGAGTATAGATAGGAGTTAGAAAGAAAACAGGAAACGAAGATATGAAGAGAATGAAAAATCACTATATGCTGATAAACTAGAAAGAAGCTGCGATACCTTCATTGTAGAGAGGCTAATCAAAGATTTCCTGGGCATAACCCAAAGTTAATGTCATAGGCACCTACTGTGATCTAGGTATTGATGAGATTGGAAGAAGGAACTCAGCCTAGACTGAAAAAGTCAGGCATACTCTCTTCCTCCTCCTTCTTCCTTTTCCTCCTCCTTCTATTTCTCTTCCTCCTCCTCCTCCTTCTTCTTCCTTCTCTTCCTCTTCTTCCTCTTCTTCTCCTTCCTCTTCTTCTTCTTCTCTTCCTCCTCCGTCCCCCTTCTTCTTTTTTTTCTTTTTCTTAGGTCTTTACCATAAGGTATGCACACTTGCTGGAGAGAGACAGCAACAAAGAGAAGGAAAGTGAAATCGCCCTACTTAGGGGGATGGCATAGTAGGTGCTCAAAATGTCACAATCCCTTCTCTTAGGATTTTGGGCATGTATACGCACACGCACAAACACACACACACACACACACACACACAGTGTGTTTTTCAAGTCTCTGGGTCTGGTACTCAAACTGTGGTCAGCATATGGGAATCCAGCGCTTTAACCACCATGCCACCTCCACCTGGTATACTCTTTTAATAGGAAAAATAATTTAAAAAAACAGGGTCCAGGTCTTCAAATACCAAAAAAGAAAGAAATGTGTGCTTAAATGTCTCATTTTTACTCCTAATAGCTTTTTTTTTTTGGGGGGGGGGGAGGTTTTTGCTATAGGGCGCAGGCCGCATGCCCTCGCCAGACAGACAGGGAGAGACAGAGAGACAGAAAGCAAGAAATCACCCCCCAGGGGGAGATGGTCACGCCGCAATCCCTTCTCCTCCATTCTCCTCTCGTGATCTTGGGCACGCACGCACACGCACCTGGCATGAATTTAAGCCACCAGGTCTGGGATGCGAACTGCGGTCAACTATGTGGGAGTCCAGCAACATAGCCATTACGCTAACTGCTGGTCCCACTCCTAACAGATTTTTAATCTGGAATATCCTTTGGTTGTATGTTTAAGTCTTCCAAATACTAACTTACAGCACACAAAGCAAGAGAAAGAGGTTTGACCAAACAAAGAGAAGAGACATGAGCCCAGGGCACTGGGGTTTCTGAAAGGTTAATTTTTTCTTTCTTTC